CTCTCCCTCTCTCTCTGCCTCTCTTTCTGTCTCCCTCGCCCCTCCCTCGCTCTCCTGTCCCTCCTCTTGCCTGTCATTCCGTCTGCCCATCCGTCTGTCGACGCCTGTGTTTGTCTGCCTGGTCCGGCCATGTCCTGATCCGTCGCTCCCACCAGGTTGCTCTCCTCCCTCCCGCTCCCGGCTGTCTTGGCGCTGGTGGACACAGAAACACGCGGGCGATTCCCGCCCCTGCTCTCCGCTTCCTTTTTGCTCCCTCTCCCGCTTCCTCTCACTCTCTAGGCGTCTCTTTCACTCTCCTCCATCTCTCTTTCGCGTACAAATAGCCGTCGATTCTTCATGCAATCGGGCTGAACGGAATAAAGGACCGGCCATCGGGCTGATCTGACAGATAAAGAAACGCATGAATGCGGCTGTTTTTCGTCATCCGTCTCTTTTTTCACCCCCACCAACATCATACCGCGAAACCCTCAGTCTGAGTGGGACCAGCCCCCACCCACTCTATTCCACCCTCACTGCTACCTTAGCCTGCCTCATGCCCCACCCGCACCCCTTCCCGCTCGGTATTGACACGAGTCTCAATAAATTGAAATAGGGGCGAGGCTGGCGAAAGCTAGGTGGAGCAGAATTAATTTTGAGGTGTCTGGCCGCAGTGGGTCTGCAGCCCCCGCTAAACGAGCCAGTGCCCCGATCTGGCATTCCCTTTGCCTGGCCGAGGTCTCGGGTCTTCTCCGATCCAACGGCGCGCTCTGCTGCCCGCCCTCCTAGGGCCGGGCCTTGGACATCGGTTTGTCTCTATTTGCCCTTGCCCTTTCTTCGGTTCGACCCGCTCGGGCGCTTGGGTCAGAATAAACGCACGGCTTTTCCGAACCCGGTCTACTCTATTCTCTCTATTCAACTACCCCCCTCCCGCCACCACCCACTTCCCCTCCTGGAGGCCAGCGTCGCGCTCCAAAAATTCCAGCACGGCCATGTTGTTGTTTTACTCTTGTCCGTTTTGTTTCTCGTTTTGGCGACCCCCAGTCAGCCCTGCCTCACTGCTGCCTTTTGGTACGGCCCTCAGTTAGTCCCTCCCGTTCTCTCCCCCCCCCCCCCCCCCCCCCCCCCCCCCCCCCCCCATCTGCTCCCGCCTGCCACTAATTCACCTTCCGTCCTGTCATCCCCCTCGGCAATCATCATCAACATCTTTACCAGCAGCGGCACAACCACCACCACCAACACCACCAGTAGCACAACCACCACCACCGGCACAGCCACCATCGTCACCACGCCCGGCTGCCAGCTCCAGTTCATCCCTTATTTACAGCATCACTCCTCTGCGCTGCGCCGGCCGGTGCTCGCGGAGCCCTGCCGTGCCCCACCTGCCGCCATCTTCTTTTATAGGGCTCCGTTAAGGACTGCGGGGCTCGACCTATTACGCGGCCACTCGTCGCCCCTTCTGCCGAGTGTAGTGCAGCCCGAGTGCGCTGCTAGCACCTTGAATTTTGGTGCGTTGCGGTGCGGAGGATGATCATGTCTTTCTCGGTGGTGCGCGTTACGCTTGGCCAACGGCAAAAACCAGGGTTGCCGGAATTCGATTTTTTTTGTTTCGTTTGGAGGGGGCGGCCAGAACCGACAGGGCCCGTGCTTGTGTAGTGTGATTTTCTTTTACACCTGTCAGTACACAGTACATTCACTGTTCGAAAAACCTACAGGAATTAATCTACGGTGCGCCCTATCAATTTGTAATCAGGTCAGCCACTGTATTTTGGATTACAGTTCACTCATGTCAGAACAAGGATGTACCGCACCTTCGCAAACCGCCTTTTTGTTTTTAGACACTGAAGTACGGTCCATATCTTTTCGGTCTGGCCCGTACATAAATTATACAGGACAGAGACAAACCGTTGACAAACCGTATCAGGGCCTAGCTGACCGTACTTCCTTACAACATTTTTAACAGTGTTCCTGCTGCTTCGCTGTTCCGTAAAAAACTTGCTACCGACCGCTTTTTTCACCAGTAATACAAAATAGTTCCTTTTTTGCGTTACTTATTTTTATTTCTTTCACCAGAAAATTACTTACAAAAATTATAGACAGTGAAAAACAAATCGTTCTCCTGTTGCGTAAAAACGGAGGTATACACTATAAGAAATATAGGTCCGTCTCCCCGACCCCGTCACCCCCTTTCGGCGCCCCTGGCACGGACCCAATGTGGCGGCTGGGGGACCATGGTCCCCGCTTTGCCGGGTGCACCAAAACCAGGACCAGGCCAGTACCGCCGCCACTCTCGATGTGGTAACCCCTATCCGACGGAGCTTTGATGGGGCTTGGTGGGCAACGAGCGAGTGCGAGAACGAGGATAGTGTGAGCGAGAGACGACGCGCACTCTCGCTCTCTATCACACCCTACACTTAGTCTCTCTTTCGTCTCTCTCTCTCTCGCTTTCCCTCTCGCTCTCCCTCTCCCTCGCTCCCTTGCTCGCGCTTGTGTGTGCGTGAGTGGTTAGAGGCGGGTGTTTGGGATTGGCTGCAAGACGCTCCCATCCGCAAAATCACAGCAGTACTACAACTTGTGTCGGTTCGGAGCGAGCGGGAGGAGGAGGAGGAGGAGATGGGGAAGTTAGGCGCGGAGCGCTCCCGAAGGGTTCGGCGGACCGTGTGCGTTGTCAAGTGGCCGGTCCTTGGAGGTAGGCAGCCTACCCTACGGGCCCAACCCCCCGCTGCGCCCCGCAGCCCGCAGCCCGCGGCGGAGGACAAAGAGAGCGTAGGGAATCAGGCTCGCTGCCCGGGGGGGCCGACCGCCGCACAGCCCGTCGGGCGATACTCGCCACAGCGCGGGAAGTTTTCTAATTCGCGGAGTTCTGCGACAACCTCCCTCCTCCGCCCTCTCCCCCACATTCCTTGCTCCCCCCTCCCTTCTCGCTCCTCTCCTTCTTGACGGCCGCGGCGGGTGGCGCGCGGTGATTCCCGCTCGCAATGTATTTAGTGTCTGCGGCCGGCCGCGTGAAAATGACCCCCACCCTCTTTCCTCTTTCCACCACCACCACCCACACTCTTCTAAACAGAGAGTAACAGAAGCAGAAAAAAAATATACGCAAAGAGGCCGCATGCTGGAATTGGATGAGACGCCCTCTGCCTTGTGCCCTTTTGGTCTTCACAGGGATATCAGCGTCCTCCCCTCTGCCTCCACAACCTCTCGCTACCCCCGCCCTTCCCCCTCTCTTCCCCCCTTCCCCCGCGCCAAAAAAAAAAAGGAGCACAAAATGAAGATGAGGGGAATGCTTGACGTGCTCCATGGAGAGGTGTCCGTCGGGGTGTGCGTAGAGGGGAGTGCGTTGCTCTCATTATGGGCCGACGGGCCGGGCTGCTGGAGTACTCGGGGCGGGGTGGGGCGGGGCGGGGTGGGGCGAGTGGAGACGGGACACGGTCCTTGCCGTTCTGCGGTAACGAGGCGTGGTGCTTCGAACTGATAATCACCCGAATCACCCCTCAGTGCGCTTATGGCCTTTTCTCTGGTGTCCTCCTTCCTGGTTCGCGTCCTACCCTTCACCCTTTTCCCCGCCTGGGGTTCGTGGAATCAAACAAATCGCCCTATTTGGATGCGGTTCGGCCCAAACTCCCTCCTCCCCCCATATACTGCTTTGCGAAACACGGAGTGTGCCTCTGTTTGGCCCCCATTAATTAATGCCAATACAAGCCGATCTGAAACCGTATAGCCTCCCGCCGCCGTGCGGCCGCGGGCGCGCGCCTGGGTGCCGATCAAGTAACTGATTCCGAAACGGTTTGCCAAATTAAATGAGCGGCGTGCGATTGGCGTCAGGTAAACGTGGCAAATTGGGATGCAGCCCTTTGATGATCGTCGATATATGGTGGCACCGCTGGCAAATGTTGGATCTTTCATCTGCTGTGAATATAGGGAGGAGCGCGGTCCTGTGCGCTCGCTCGTCGTATAGCAGGGCCCCTCTCTTTCCGTCCTCTCCCTTTCCTCCAGCTGCCCTAGAGACGCCCTACTCTCGTAGGCTCCGGCGCGCAATACGATGTCTTTCATTTCTCGACTACTTGTGCGTTTTATGGGTCCCCACTTTGCCGCTGCCTTTTAGCAGCAGGGTAAGGCCCTGCCCTCCACCCCGTGCACATTAAACGGATATGTGAGGAATGCTTTTATATCGCTTCCTATTTATTTTACAGCACATTTTCGGCGCATTTGCATTTTAATTGTCGCGGCTGTGGGGTTTTATGTGTATTTGTCTGCGGGCAGGCCTGTAGGGGCGCTCGTCTCAAGAGAGGGAAGAGATTCGCGCAGGGCATCGTTACTAATGAATATTTCCTTACTCACTTTGAAAAATATCGTCGTAAATTTACACAATTTTTGTTAACTCGAATTATAATTTAAGTTGTTAATTTACGAGAGCAGATTTTTTACTCGCCAATTGAATTTAAGTCGATTCGTACTGCATGTATTTTTACGATCTCAAATTGTAATTTTACAACTAGCGTCAAGGAAAATTTTCCTGTAAACCTACCTATATTATTTTTCACAGTTCTTAGCGGTATATGAGTTACACTTCACCACGTGTGTTTAAAAAACACACACGCAAAAATTCACATCCTTGGTTATGAAACGTTACCGAGAATGATTAGAAACTTGAGATTAAAGCACTTTTCGAGATTAGAGCACCTTAAAATCAGTTAAAACGCCGAGTAAAACGTTTGGCATTTCGCCATTACGTCATAGTTTAGTCCGAGTCACGTTAAGTGCGAGATGAGCGCTCTGTCGCTGCTCCGTCTCCGGCTCTGAGCCTGACTAGAATCATTCCCTCTTGATGAGGACAGGGCGAGACGGGGATTGTTCTTCCAACACCGCTGCGCTGAGCTCAGCTTTCCCGCCATGTTCTACATTTCTCACCTCTTTTCGCGAGAGGATTTTAGTGAGAGAGGATGGAAGGGGATGCAATGACGGTGGCGCCTCTCTTCATGGCTCCCTTAAAAAAATAAAAACGAGAATGCGTCGGGTCCTTGTAAAAGAGAAAATACGATAATACGGATTGCACTTTCACCCCCAGCACTGTCATTTGGTGGAGCTGGCATGCTGGCAGGGATGGGGATAGAGAGAGGGTCTGTTGTAGATGGCAAACAAGGAGGAAAGGTAGAGAAATAGGATTCGCGTCCTCGTCACGAGTTGCCCCTTAATTCATTTGGACACTAAAGGGTCACTCCACTCCCACCAAGGTCACTCCAGGGACGAGCCGGTTGGGAGGCCGTCTGATGGACAATACTTTAGCCGTGGGACAATTTGCAAGTTGGGCTTGTGGACTGAAAGGGGGCGAAGCAGAAACGATTGTGTGCAGATCGGGCAGAGTAAGTATGTCGTCGGGATTCGCGAAACAAAAGAGACGAGCTCTGCAGCCGCTTTCATTACCCCCCCTCCCCCCACCTTTTTTCCTCCTCTCCTCATCTCCCTTTCTGCGCCCCCTCAACTGTGTCTGTCTCACCGTGCTTTTATTCGGCGACGCCGCATCGTCCCTTTTCCTTTTCTTTTTTTTAACAGCAACAACAAACCTCAACGACATCAACAACCGCCCCTCCTGCGAGGCGTGTATAACAGCGTAAACGTTCCATTTCCAAACGTGTTGAGGCGCACAGTTTGCGTCGGCGTATAGCGCTCTATATAGTCGTCTCGTCCCCCGCAGCAGCAGCAGCAGCAGCTGCTCAATTCTCAAAGACAACAGACCGCATGGTAGGTTGGCAGCGAAGATAACCGCCTGCTCCATCTCCCCCCTCCCCCCAATCCTGCTGCTCCGCTACTTCTGGTCGGATTGTGGCTGCGAACACGTGCCCAGAGCGGCCCGGAGCGGCCCGGAGGGCAGGGCCCATGCCATATCAAGCTAAGCCACGCTCTCGCGAGAGCGGGCCGCTTTGGCCAAGGCGGCCCGCTCTCGGCGCTCGATGGTGGAGGGGGTTAGCCGAAGCTGGAGCCGAAGCTGGAGCCGATGTCGGAACCGGGCCGAGCTGGACCGATCAAACACACAAGTGCTCAAACGTGACATTTTTCGGTTCATTCAATTTCAATGGTAACTCGTCGTGTTGATTTGAACTGAAAGAATCATTTTCTAAAGATTCGTTGAAACATTCTTACATGAAATGCAGCACTCCGAATGTTAGACCCTTATCGGCTCTTCTGAACTGCTTTCCACTTTCTTAAGTTGGTCAACTCGTTTAGAACGGTAAAAGAAGACTTGCAGCGCTGTTTGAATGTTGGCGTCGACGTTGGCCTAACACGTTTGCTCGTTGGTGTTGGTCGGTACGGACTTTTGTGGACTTTTGACGGAGTTTTGTGGAGTATTCTGGGTAAGTTCCATATTTCAAGTAACTAAACTAAAATAATTTAATGTTTTCCATTTATTTGCGTGATTATTTTAACGGTCGAGAACGAGTCGTTGCTGTGAAGGGAGAGATATTCGTTGATCAGGGTTCTGGCCTATGGCCTGTTCCTGGCGTAGCCACTTGATCCTTGGTTCTAACGATATTTTAGACGCATTCAATATTGTTAATTCCTAATACACTTTTGTTTCTTATACCAGTGCGATCGCGACGATGGATTCTCTCCCAGGGCCGAGCTCTGCTGTAGCAGAGAGTAATAGTGGTATGTGCAAACCATAGTTAAAAAAGTGGACAAGTTCCTCAAAATAACGGTTTCTAATCCACTCTACTTTCAAATTGTTCCATGAATTCATCTCATGTTATTAAACGCCAGCAATGTTCAAGAAAATAAAATTAATTTCACTTGTTTTTGAGAATTTATTACATTTTTACTGATCTTTTTAAAAAAAAGTGTTTTCTGGGTATTATGGTTACAATTTGCAATTTTGATGTTTCAACACATTGCAGATGAATTTTTTCAAGTGAAAACAAGCGATATTTTTGTTTAAACTGAAAACTATACTTGAAAGTATGATAAATTGTTCCTATTTTTTTATACAGGCCTCTCTGTGGTGCCCTTCACCATACAGGAAGGAGACAACATCTACCAAGGCCATATTGATTTACAAAGCCTGCTACAGATGGAATCAGACAACGGCTTTCGACAGATTATTCTAGACAATTTGAAGGCAGTTGGAGTTCAGCCATCAAAGGGTAATGCTATGAAACCATTAAATTCTAATTTTATGGTGCTGCTTTTGCATTGATATTGGCATTTATCCCATTAGCTGGAAGTCTCCAGGAAGCAGCAAGTCAGTCTGCAGTCAGAGCTTTTAAAATGATTCCCACTCCCAACCCAATCAGTCGGCCTTGTAAGTTGATTTGTCTTTACTCTCAAAGGCTCATAGGCTTAGTAATTGCTACTACCTACTAAAAATACATAGCAAAGAATTGAACCTTTCCCTTTTCTGAATAATTCCACAGCTCTAGCTCAAGGTAAATATGGAGCGGTGTGGGATAGTGAGTCAACTAGAGCAATGCTAGAACGTTGCCTTGCACACAAGAAGGCATTTTATAAGAAACGAACAGTTGAAGACAAAGTTTGGGCATCCATATCTGACGAAGTTTTTGCAATCAATGAGAAAATGGACTACAATGGAGAACAATGCAGAGAGAAAATGAGGAATCTAAAAAGGGCTCATAAAGAGTTTAATTCAGGCAAACAAAAATATTTTGAGTTTTGCGACCTCATGGTAGCTATTTTTGACACACCAATTGGTAAGGAAGTTAAATTAGAATATCTTCTTGATTCTTAAAGAAATATTCATAGTACTTTTGCATCGCAATTTATTTTTTAAAACTTTTTATGACAGAAGAGCAAGCAGCTATGCAGTTAGATCGAGTCACTGATTTTGCATTAGTAGGAAATAGCAGCATATCCTTTACAGAATCAGGACCTAGCATGACATCCTTTGTACAAGAAAGTAGTACATCCTGCAGTGACCACGTTCAGTCTCTAGATCTAGAAGCAGATTTGCAGAGTTTTCCCGACACTGATCAGTTGGGTAATGATACACCTACACCTACACCAACAATGCACTCGGAAACCATGGGTGAGTTCAGGTTTGAAAGTAGTGTGTGGTTTTATCTCATACAAGTTTTGCAACCGTTTTTTTTCCTTGAATTTGTTACTAATATACAACTGCTTTTAACTTTTTAAATTACCTTTCTTTTTCAATTTTAAGAAATGTCACTTACTGAGAAATCATGTCAAAGTGGAGGGCCAATTAATTCTCAATCCGATACTATGAGTGGGCCTGAAAACAAAAAATCTGGTTAGTTTTATATTTTATTTGGTTATGCTAATACTTAATTTATCTTAAGGTTTAGTTTCTAATTTTACTGTCATTTGCAGGAACAGATAAGCCAGTCCAAGCAGTACCTGCTGCTATAAGATTGAAAAAGATTGGCGCTGGTGGAAGTGCTGGCAACTGGGACAAAGATTCAACTTTGGCTGTAGTACAGGCCTTCCTACAGAGAAAACAAGAAGTGCAGCGGATAGAAAATATCCCACAGCGTGTTTTCAAAGACATTAGTGATGAGCTTAAATCAAAAGGGTTTAATATGAATCCAAGTGTTTGCAGAGACAAATTCACCCAAATGAATGATTTTTTCACTGGTGTGCTACCCTCAGGTGGTTTCATGTCAGGCTTTAAATGGCCACATTATGATAATTTTTGTGAGCTTCATGACATCCCCTTTGATTTCATAATTCCTGTCAATCAAGAGTCACTCGCATATGAGCCTGCCGGTAAGCTTATTGTTCTTAAGTTTTTAACTAGGAAAGTACATTGTTCGCTGCAGCAAAGCTTCTTTACTAAAATTATTTATTTATTCCTCTCACTAGGAAATGTAATTTGGACCGAACCAGCAGTATTCCTGTTACTAAGTGAATACCATGCAAAGAAAAATCAATTTGACAATACCAAATCTCCAATTAGGCACCAACTGCTCTTCAATGAAATTTCAGACACCATGAATAATTTTTTAATACCTGTATCAACTAAGCAGTGCCTTGACCAGATGAATGTTTTAAAAATTAAATTCAGACAAGAATATGACAGGCTTAATGTCAGGAACACAGGCCAGCCTCCAACAACTTGGCCCTACTATGATAAAATGCTTGAAATATTCCAGGGTTGTGCCAGCTTGGATGCTCCCTTTTTACTATCTGCGGGAAAAGGGCTGTTCTACTCTGTAAAAGGGAAACAAAACACAAGCAGTTCTAGTGGAACCAGGACTCGCCCAAAAGAAGCAAAGGAAAGTGGAGTTACACCCAAGAAGCCATTGACTGCTCAGCAATATAGAGAAATGATTGTGGTACAAAGATCAACTGCCACTGATGAGTTAAAGCTACTGAGAGAAGGCCTTGAAAGAAGAAGTGTTGAGAGATCAGCAGAAATGAAAAATCTCACGGAAGTTTTGAGGGATTATGTAAACAAGCAGCAGCAGTAATACTATTTAGATTACATCTCAAATTTTTGTTTGAAACTGGAGCAAGGGAATTTTTTTAATTATCTAGTGATAAATCTAGTCAAAGAATGTTATTTTCTTCATTATTCTATTATCTGCTCAACATTGTGATATACATTTTTATTTATGTTGTATTTATCTTTTGTTAAATTGCCAAAAAAAAATTTAAGGTAATATTTTGAACTGGAGGCGAAGGCTAGTCTTTCAGTGGAAAGTGGATTAACTTATCAATCACCAAGTCCGGCAAAACAAGAAATTTTAATTTCAAATATCAATACTTAATTTTCTAACATACACATTTGGTAAATCTTTATGCCATATGCCAATCTACTGTTCTGTATTTGGAATATTCAATTATAATTTCATTTGTTGTGCTGTCAAAGCCCTTTGTGATACCCAAGGAACATTAAAACCCTTGTACATGCGCCCAGCAGCTCTTCTCTTGGACAAACCTTTACCTACTGAACAACAACACCCAATATCAAAAAATATTTGATAAGGTAAAACATACCGATTATTTTCAAAAAATATATTATGGAGCATATTTGCCTGAGTGAAAACTTAATTAAAAATATAATGCTCTGCATTAATACTAAGATTCATTTCAGTTTTATGTTATGATCTGCTTAAACAACAATAAATAAGAAAACAGAGTTGGGAACTGTAAGCTCCACTTAAAATAACTGAATCAAAAGATAAAGTCAAGAGGGAAAAAAATCCTAAAAAACCCTGTGCAGTAATGAATAAATAAGGAACAAAGCAATAAACATAAGATTCTTACTGTATTAATTGTAGACTACACGTAATCATTAAAATTAAGTTTAAAACATAAATAGACTATAAATGAAGTTTAGCAAGGTGCTTTGAATGTGAGTTTGCAATCACAGATTTGACTAGCAAACGTTTTCTACAGCAGAATAATAATATGATAGAGCAAATTAATTACAAGTTTCCCAGTATTTCCATGAGAAAATTTCGTTTTTCGACACCTCTGGCTTGTGCTGCTTGCTCTTCATCATTGATGTCTTCAAGCTCTTCATCAGGCTCATGCACTTCATTTCCCAAAACTTCATTGGCGTGAATGGGCCTCCCAAGCTCTTCATGCTGTATGAACAGAAAAGGAGAAGAGAGAAAATTAATATTACACTTATCAAAAATTGAGAGAGTAAGTGTATTATTCTATCCCCTTACATCTAACATATCCTCTCCTCCAAGAATAATGAAGTTGTGTAGCACAAACGATGCAGTGATGTGATCCACAACAATTGCTTGGTTTCTGGCATGGAGGAATTTTAGCCTACGCCACTTTCCTTTTGCTCGTCCAAAGGCATTCTCAACTCTCACTCTGGACTGAGACAATCTGCGATTAAAATTCCTCTGCTCTGCATTCAGATGCCCATTGTTGGGAAAGGGTATCATCATCTGAAAGTTGAAAAATACCACAATTGTTAACAAATAGAGTCACATAATAATTATTGAAAACAAATTGTAAGCAAGAAGACTATAGGTACTTACAAAATCAGTGAGTGTGTATGCGCCATCACCTACAAGGTGCTCATCTGCAGTCAAACGAGTACCTTCGACCAAATCATGGTGCAGGATGCTTCTTCTAAAAACACGAGCATCGTGCATGCTACCTACTTCACCAACTACTAGATCTCGTACTAAGAGGGTGTTGTCGACCACAGCCTGCACATTAATACTGTAAGATCTGTTACGGTTTTTGTATGAGGCAGCACCCAGCACTGGAGCAGTAATGTATACATGCGTTCCATCAATACACCCAACTACACCAGGAAATCCTGTGGCTTCATGGAATGCATTCCTTATTGTTACCCTCTCTTCTGCTGTTGGCCAAGTGATGTACCTATCTGCCAATTCACGCAGAGACAGAATTATATAAGAGTAAAAGTAATATAATGTTCCGGGCGTTACTCCAAACTGCAGTGCAACACTCCTGAAGCTATCTGGTGTCGCAAGGAGCCACACAACCATCAACATTATATCTGGGATGGGTGTACGTTCCCTGATTAGCCTTCTTTTGAGGATAAGGTGTTCTCTTATAACTGTACACAATCTCTATGCAACAAGTAAGGAAAAAAACAAACATCAAACAATTTAATTATATTGCACCGCAAATGAATAGCTGACCAAAGAATGTTAGTTGAAACCTCACTTCAAATGTAGCCCTTGACATGCGGAAATGCAACTTAAAACAAGGATCGGGCATCAAATGAAACTCATTTATGTCAGTGGTAATTTTAACCCAAGAGGCGCCACCTGCAACAAAAGAAATGTCAGTACATGAGAAAAAAGCAACAAAGAGAAACAGGCAACTACACAGTGAAACATACCTAACCCTTCACCCTCCTCCAACTCCATCAACTCAGCTGCAGCTATCTCTGCTGCTGCGATCGCAAGTCTCTCTTCTTCCTCTTCCTCTTCTTCCATCAAAGCCGCAGCTGCGGCGGCTACTTGCAACACGATATTTGCGTCCATTGTTTAACTGTATTCTGAATTCACAGCGAAAGAAGTACACTACGCGTTTTGTTATTGTTGTTGTCGTCTGCCTATTGTGGTCTCGCTCGCTTGTTTGCCTCTGTCGTCGGGTTGTCAGTTCGGGGGTCGCTCGGCTCCCGCTTCGACTCCTTCGGCAGACTTCGGTTACCCCGGTTACCCCAACGAGCGCCGAGAGCGGGCCGCCCTGGCCAAGGCGGCCCGCTCTCGCGAGAGCGTGGCTTAGCTTGATATGGCACCAGAGCTTGTGTTCCACCTCCGCCGGAGGGGGTGCTGGAGGCAGGCGGTAGTGGAGCCGCTAGACTCACCCCCCCCCCCTCCCGGTTCTTCGGATAGACATCCTCTGGGTGTGTGCAGTGCACCTCCCCCTTACCCGCGGCGACGTGGAGGAAACTACCAGTCGCGGCAAGGAGGAAAGCGAAAACAAAAGGCGGAGCAGGAGACGGTGGCACAAGTGACAGCAGCAGCAGGAGGAGGAGCAGCAGCAGCCGCCGCCCGGCTGGCCTAGTTATTTCAATCAATCAGACTGGGGCTTACAGCGCGCCGCTGTCAACACTCGGAGAGCGACGCGCGTCAATACCGGCTGGGCGGGCGCGGGCCAAAGGGAGGCCGGCGGGGTCTGGGCTGGGTAGGGCCGGGGGCCAGCAGCTCGGAGGAGGAGCTGCTGCTCCGGCTCGGGAAGAAAGGGAAAGCAATTAATTGTTAATCACTGTAGTTATACGACTGGCACCCACCCACCCCACACCCGCTCTCTGGCCGTAATTTGCGTCAGCTCTCGTCTTCTGCCCGTCCGCCTTCGCGCGCCCTGACGGTCGGTCTATATGCACATTTCTTGACCACGCTATGTATTTGTTTGTTCTTGCGAGCCTCATGGGGCGTTGCGGGTGCGGTGCTGCTGGGCCTGCTGGGTGCTGGGCCTGCTGGGCGGGCGCCTCGGGGTGCGCGCGGGACCTGTTGCCGGCCCGTGGCGTGGCGCCCGTGGTGTGCAGTGCCAGAGGGAGGCGCTGCTGCTGTTGCTGCTGTTGCTGCTGTTGTTTTCAACTCGGTGGCTGCGGCAGACGATGGCGTTGCGGCGGGCTGCTGCTGAAGCGGCTGAAGGCGGCGCGCGCTGTCATCGTGTGCGCCCGCCGCCGAGCCTGCCTCGCGCCGCTCCGCACCACCGTCGCTGCCTTATTTTCCCCTGCTCCTCGCGTTTATTTCCCTCGTTTTCACCGCCACGCCGCCGCCGTGTTTTCCTTCTCCGCCGCGATATGTTTGGCGCGGGGAATAATATTATCATCGCGGTGGAAACAGAAACACGCGCCGCCTCCTCCTGCGACGCGCCCTCCGCGCCCCGCACCACCGCCCCATCCTCAGCCCCCCTCATTCTGGTTGCCGTAAATCAAATTAGCAGGGGGAGGGCTCGTTGAAAAGGGAGGAGAAAATCACAGGGGGACTCGGCCACTTATTTCCCCTCCGGGCATTAATGTTTTGTCCCCCCCCCCCCATCACCCCCACGTCTCCTCGGCCTCGGCCCTTCCGCGGATAGCAAAGTTCCGCTGAAATCCATTATCACTTGCGCGTCAAACGCACACACCGGTCTAGAATCCTCTCGAACCCTTAACGGTGTCCCGCCGCGCAGCCCCGAGCTGCTCTGCGTTAGATATTCCTCTATTGTTGGCCTAGCCTATGCAAAGGCAGGTCATCAGGGACTCAAACAGCGACCTTTGCTTGTACCGTTTGCACCCGGCAAGTCACACCCGTGGGCGTGCCCCGCCCGGCCCTGCCCCGCCTCTCCTCCCACATCTGCCCCCACCCCCTGCACGACCCCCAGCCGCTTCCTGACCCCTCCCGGGGGCTCCGGAGGGCTCGGCACGGCGGCGGCTCGTCCGCCCGGTAGCGCTCCCCTCCCTCCTCGTCCTCCCACGCCCAACCAATGTCGTAAACCCTACTGAGCACAATCAGTGTCCCCTCATTTCTTGCCTCTGAACTCGCTGTTTGGATCCCCTTTGAAATGTGTCGCAGCAGTGGACCGCCCCGTCCTGCCCCGCCTAAAATAATGCCTATGTAGCCGAACGTTCGATGTATGCCGATAAAATAGTGAATGATATCAAACTGCCTCGAAACTAAAATTTTCGAGAAGAAAGTAAAAACCGAATGGTCGAACCCGTTCACATGCCATGCCTATTCATAATATCCTCGTTAATATCATAGGGGCTCGGCGCCTGCGAGACTCAGGGTAGGCCACTCTGCAATACGCCCACGCACTGTAGGCAAGATGTTGCCTGCCTACCAGGCGCCTTGCCAACTTGCAGCTGCTGAGCTCTTGGCTGTTTTTTAACGGCGAAAGGTGGACACACTTTTTTTATGAGTTGGTTGTAGGTTTTATAAAAGACTCCAACCCTTTTGTTATGATCCCGCGCCTCTGAGGTGGGCAACCCACCTGGCGGCGATCCCCCCGAGACGCACTAGCCCGTCTGCCTACCCAAACCACCCTCGCACTCCCTAGTGACTGTGCGCGCCAACATACACACACGCGCAAACACGCACACACGCACACGTGCACCTAAAACGCACGCACACACACCGCCCAAACGCACACAAAAAAGCTAATGACCAAACTGCCCGGAACACTCCACGAGTCGCTCAATCACAGACAGACTCCTCCCCATGCTAATAGGGGTTGCTACCCCCACCCCCTGGGCCCGCCCGTTCTGTCCCCTAGTCGCTCCCTCTCTTCCTGCTCTGTCGGTTTCGTCCACTTACTCTGCCAAACACGTCGGGCCGAGGAAGAAAAATATTTCCAATTTTGCAACAGGTCTGGGCGGCATGATTGCCGATTGCCAACGCTGCTAGATTGAAAGACTGTCATTAAAGTTGAACCAATCAAAAGCCTCCTCTCCGCCCCCTCTCGAACGGATCTATCAGCGGAACGCCAGAGCGAGCATCTGAGAGGACTGCGCTTCTTATTAAAATATATTTTGGCAGTGGAGTGCACGACGCAGCAGGGCGCACCACGCCACGCCCCACGCTGGCACCGTTTGTGTGGTGATCATGTGTGAATGTTATGCAGACGGGGTGACTGCCAGGGCCAAACAGTGTCGTCTCTCTCGAAACGTACGAATTACGTTGGCAACACAGATTGTGTTCACGGGAGGTGCGCGGCGACAACGTAAACCTGCTGCGATTTTCTTTCCAGAGTATAGTTCTGGATGTGTCCGTGGTGCTGACGTTCCCGCGCTGCATTTCATAAATAAGAGGGTCCCCATGGCAACCTGATGCATACGAGACCACCATGTTTGAATTTCCCGCCTGGGCGAGCAAGAGGTGCGCGGCGGCCCGGAAGCGGAAGTGTGTCGCACCCAACCAATGGAGGGAGGAAAAGCGAGGGCCCAGAGGGGTGGGGAGGGGAAGAGGAAGAGCAAAGATGTAACGAGAGCAGTGAGGAGGACATGGAAAGAGAAATGAAGTAGTAAGACAGAATTCGTATACACGGAGGTCATATTCGTTGACTGACCTCTCCCTGACCAGATGCTTACTCATGTTTGTGTGGGTTTTTTCCTGTTGCGCATTTCCTTCCTTTCTAACTGTGAAACTCCCCGCCACCCCTTTGGCCTGCTTCCCTTTCCGTTGACCGCACTGGACCGGGTTGGGTACGCGCCGGGGCCGGATATAGGACCACCTCCCCGCAGGCCGCCTGGCCGCCACCCGGCCCCTTGCCACCGCGCCAGGACCCCTCCAGGACTCCAAAGTACTCCATTCAGAAGCAGAAGTGGGCTGGAGTCGAGGAGGCCCCAGTGAAAAGGAAGCTAGGACGGGGCCCCGGCAGCGAGGACGGCGACAGGGGTTGAGGGGAGGGGGGCATGGACGTTGGGGGGCTTCTCTCTGGGCGCCACCTGCTGGGCCCCGCCGGGTTAAGAACCAAATACCCCTCGACTTTTATTAATTCAGACCCAGAAATGCCGGGTTGGCGTTTGGCTCCTCATATTAACACTTGGAAAGACGTTTGCGTCTATTTTTAAAAAAAATAAAACTCGTACCAACTCTCTGCAAAGGCAGGGCCTTACCTGCTGTACTTTCTCGACCCGACCCACCCCCTCGCCACCCTTACTCGACTCTTGCTGCTGCTGCTGCTGCTGCTACCTACTACTTATCTGCAGCTTTTTTGGCCCACCGTCCAACAAGATTTCTCGAGTTTCTCGAGGCGCTGCTTGGCCCTCGCTCGCATGCCCCGACCACCACTAGTACAGTGCGCGCAGTATGCGCCCCACCCCCGCCGGGAATAGGCCCGGCCGGGGGTCTTGTTGGCATGCGGAACCGTGCGGAACACAGGAGCAAGGCCAGGGCCGGCCGGCGCACAGTGCGGCAGTGACTGACGCTAAACAGCCCGCGCCGACTGAGGTCCTCCCTCAGGCTGCGCGAACACCCCCCGAGCTCCCTGCCGCTCCCCTCCTCCCCGGCGGCGGCTGAGTGAGCCGTGAGCTTTCCCGTGCCTCATCTCTCCCTGCCTGTTTCTCTTTGTGCGTACGACGCTTGTCTGACGCCGCTGCTGCAGCCCCCTCGCTGCGCACGACAGGAGCCGCGCGGGCGCCGTCTTTCCAACGCGTATAATTCTGAGAAAGAAAATCACAAATGATGCTGGTATTGTCATCGTTCCTATGTATACCTTGTCAAGTGAGCGGTGCCTGCCGCCGTCTCTTCTCCCTCTCGCTCGCTCCACGACACTCACCACCACCCTCCGGGTCGCGGAGACGGCCCTATAATTCACGGCGCGCGCCAAAAGTGATTTGCAGCCCGCTCGTACGCTCGCGCCGCCGACAGCGCCGACTTGGCGTACCTGTCAAACACGGCCCGGCCCTACATTACGGCGCACCGCTATACAGTTGCACAACTCGCGGCGACAGCAGCAACGCGGTGCACGTTCTCTCTCGACGCCGCGCCGCCTCGGAACGTTAACACTGTCTTTTTTGACAGAGGCGAAGGGGCGTTTGCGTAGGCGGGGCGTGATGTGATAATAGAGCCGGACAGTGGCCAACTGGGGCGGGATCCAGGCCGGGCTGCGGTGCACCTTGGCACCGGGGAAACCTCACACCTGCAGCTGCCACCTGCCGCTCTCTGACATTTCTCTTCTCTTGTGTTTGCAGGCGCGGCTGGCATGGCGGCATGGGTCTGGTCCCGGCGCTGCTGGGGCCCAGGGCCTTGCGCGCTGCTCGGGGCCGGCGGCGGCGCGGACAGCTAGCTGAGCGGCTCGCCGAGCGGGCTCAAGGGCCAGCGGGATGAAGCCGGGGCCCCTCCTGCTGCTGGTCGCGGCCGTCCTGGCGGGCGCGGCGCGGGCCGCCAGCGCGCCCAGGACGCTCAACCTGGCCCTGATCGCGCCCGGCCAGGGCAACAACGACCGCAACCTGCCGCACATCCTGCCCGCCATGGACCTGGCCATCAGGGCCGTCAGCCACCCCGCCGACGGCATCCTGCCCGGCTGGAGCATCTCGCTGCGGCACCGGGACTCGCAGTGCTCGTCCACGTACGGGCCGCTGGCCGCCTTCGACTTCGTCATGAATAGGACTGTGGGTGAGTACCTACCTAGCCAGCCCGTTCTGGGGCCTAGGGTGTCCGAACGGCGGAGCGAGTCACTTACTCTCGACGTGTGCACTAATGCCTGATTCCTAATGATTCCCATCCATTCCCTTTAAATCCTGACATCACGCTTATTTCGACTTATTCTTTAGTTTTGGCGTTTCCCTGCTAATTTCAGTGGCTTTCTTTGTATGGTTATGATTTCGATCCCGAATGAATCGGAAGCCGCTCACATAATTCCCAAAGAGCCTAACCCCTCGGGGGCGCCCCTATTGTAACCGAGTCCTCGCACCTGAGGAATTCGTCGGGGCGCAGTACTATCGCGGTCCACCCCGCCCCCTCCGTCGCCCGCAACAATGAGGTGACGGATGGACCGGGCCACTCTGCGGGGGACGTGCCTGCGACCTGCGGCCGCCCCTCCTGGGGCTCGGGCTCGCCGGCCCCCGGCTGTCACTCAGCGCCATAGCGAGCGCGTAGAAAAGGGTCGAGGTGAGATGAACTGTCGGCTTTACTTTTTATTTTCATTCGGTTTCTGTTTATTATAATCAAAGTGAAGCACAAATTAGCCCACTATTTTTTCCAATTATTGCGGATTTGTGGTGGCGAACACGTTGCGGTCGCTACGAAAAACTTGCACGCCGAAATATGCAGGGAAATATACATGGACCACCCTGTATATTGTTTACCTTGCAATAATTAATTAGGAAAAGCCCTAAATACCGCCGTGACAGTTTTCATAAGCTCAACCAGTCGCAACTCCGTGAGTTTTTGTTTGTTGTTGTTTTTCTTTTCACCCTCGTTATTTCTTACACCGCATTGACTTAAGTGTATATGCAGCATACCGTGGCATTCATTGTGTTTGAAACATCCCCTTTTGATCTGAAGGCGCGCGTGTCGCAGATGAGTGTGGGGGGCGAGTGCCGCTGCCGCTCATCCCCCTCCTGAAGCACCCTCCCGGCAGCGCCGCGCTGACTTTCCGATGCTAAAAACGCCACTACCGCGCCCCGCCACGCCCCGGCCTTTGTCTGGGGGGTGCGCGGGAGAAGGTTAAAGGTGGCTGAGAGGAGGGGCTCCGGCACATGTGCCCTCGCGCAGTACCAGCGGCGGGGCGACTATTAAGTCGTCGTGATTAAGGCAAACACGTGTGTAATCCGAGCGGTGTAGGCACTTACGTGCCGCCGCGCTCTCTGTGCTCTGTGCCGCCCCGCGGCCAGGCCAGAGGCCCGGCAGCAGGAGCCGGTATCTCACCAGACTGTACACACACATACACCGTTCACTTTCCCTTTCAACCTCACCTCGCCCCTGTACTTTCTACCCCGCTCCCTCCCTCTCCTCTCTCACACACACTCTTGCCTAGACTCTCACCGTCGCTTTCTCTATGTCCCAATCTCGCCCACCTTCCTTGTGTAGTTATTTTAGTTTTAAATTCCATTATCTTGAAGAAAAATATTTTGTTAATCCAATATATATTAATTCTCTCTCTCCCTCTCGCTCGCCCCCTCCCTCCCTCTCTCCCGTCATGCTACTCATCGCAGCCCTTGGCTGCCGTCAGTTATTTCACCAAACTTTCACCGGGCGCTGCCGCGTATGCCACGCTGCGCCCGGCCCTGCAGGGACTTAGTGTCAGTCGCACTAAGTATGGCCGTGAGTGGAAGGAGGGATACTTTGCGGGGACTTAGTGCCGGTCGGCCCGACGGGCCCGTGTTGTCCTTTCATTATCGCCGGCAGTGTGCCTGCGCAGGTGGAGGCCGTAGTATCTGCAACCAACGGAGCAGTCAGTAGTGCGCCTGACTGTCAGTTCTTGTGACGTACAAAGGGTACATACTGCATGGGCTGAACGTCGGGATCCGTAGCGTGTATCTCCTTACTGGTCATATGGCAATGAGACGTATTTGCCAGATGGCTCTATATCTACGGAAGTTCTCGAATACGCGAAGGAAAGTGGCAGCGTCATAGTTTCTCCCATTGGCCCAAGGAGTTTCCGGTTCTTGAAAGTAAGAGAGAGTGGAGTTAGTACGTTCCCAGTTCGCCCGTTCTGGGGTTGAGCCAACTACCCTAAACCTTCTGACTCTCGTTACGCTCTGTTGCGTCCTTCCTCCCGCCAACAGAAGTTCTGCCACATCGGTGATCCCCTTCTTCCCCTATCATAACGAACCGGTCCCGCTTGCATTGAAGGCAACTTATTTACGACCGAGTGTTTTCTCTTCTTCCCGCTTCTCTCTCTGTGTTCATGGCCGTTAGATCCATTGCACCCCCCCCCCCTTCCCCTTCCTGCAAGTGACTCGCGTCGCAAGTTTCCCTCCTAACAGAGAAGAAAAGGGTGACCGGAACGAGGATTTTATTGGTGTGCATCATTACCCGGCCCTGACCGTGAATGAGCAGCCTCCGCGTCTCGCGCCAGTCTCACCCGCCCTCACCTCTGCGAGACCAACCTGGATGAAACACCATTTCTCTTCGCGACGTTCATTCATTTATTTACTTTTTGCGGAGGGGCGAGGCCCCCCACTAATGGTAGCACTGTGGTGGACCTGCGCGCCGCGTCTCCACCCGCGTGCCTGGCATACGTGCGGGGAGGGAGAGAGAGAGAGAGAGGGGGGGGGGGAGATGAAGTAAAATGGCTGCAGTTACATATGTAAGGAGGGCCAGCCCCCTCGTTTATTACTCTGTGCTGCTTCTTATTCAGGCCCTTTCTCTTTCTCTCTCTCTCTCTTTTTCGCATTTTGTCTCTTTGCCGTAGACTCTGTACACTTTTCTTTCTGCGCGCGTGTGCGTGAGCTGGGTGTGTTTTTCACTGGAGTCTCCCGTACCCGCTCTTACCTCATCGCTCTTTCCGACATTTAACGAGGAATTTCAATTTCGGGGAGTCCTATGTGTCATTGCCTTGTCTCCCACGTTTCTCTCCCTCTCCCTCCCATTTCTGGAGCTGGTGCCCTTTTCTGCTGCTCCTTTGCCCCGCAGATCAAAATTTTAATTTATTCTTATGGGGCCTTTTTTGGTCTCTCCTTGCCTCTGCCAATTGCAGGGCTTTCCAATATAAGACGCACCTCTGCCTTCCCTGTTGTCGCAGCAGTTTTGATTTCATCGCGACCTCTTCCTTTCTCTCTGCCCCATTTTGCTTCCACGCTGGCCTAGGTACTCAGAAGCGCTCTTGTCTTTCTTTCTCCATTCCAGTTTTCGGTTTAGTCCGAACCGCGCCACGAGTTCTTGTTATAGAACGTGGATATCTTGCCACTAGAGCTGCGCGTTGAGGTAGATTAAAGTTCCTGGGGGCTCGAGGGCTGGGCTGGGGTGGTCACCGCCATACGTAAGTGCAGCAGTTCGTCTCTTTTTCGCATTCTCCTCTTTCTTCCCCCTGCGCTCTCGCTCTTCGGGGCTGAATGCACTCCAGGGGGCGTCCGGCTCGGCTACACCCGCTCCTCCCCACCTTCCCCCTCCCAG